ATAAGGGAGCCTTCAACTGATGAAATGTAGAGCGATGACAGGAAGTAATTCATACCGCTCACATCTAGGATTTAATGACTCTGGTGAGAAATGAAAGCTAATTTCACTGGTGTTTGCATAATCTGCAGGCGCTCGGCACCCTGGCTCTTGCGAGGCTGCTGGTCTGGAGCGTAGAGCTAGACACGGACGTGAAGCTCCAGCAGAAGTCTCAGAAAGGCCGTTCCACAAACTAGCTTCTGTGACTGCCAGCGTGAGGAAACCCGCGCTGCCTCGTGCGGAGCAAAGACTGGAGCGAGCAAGGAAGCCACGAGGGCAGAATTCACTTGAAAAATATTAATTTTGCCAAGATGGCATCTTCCTGCAGCAGCAACTCAGTTGTTTCTTATGTTTATCCATTTTGTGAGAAAGAAAGGCTAATTGCGTGTGTACGTTTACGTCGTGGGAAAGCACTTTATTCTTCAACTTTTCTATCATGTTAGATTTCCAAAGCTCCCTCTTGCCTACGAAATTCCTGGGTTTTTGAAGCTTTTGGCCATTTCAAGGGCATTCATGTAGCCTTTAAGTATTTAGTTACGAGTCATGCAAATCCGCAGCGCTCACCTCGTCACACCTGCCTGCATGTCCTGCTTCTGGGCGCGGCAGAGGGCGGCGGGTAGGATCCCTTGTGGTTGGTGAGACTTGCTTCAAGACGCGTCCTGGGCGGCCAGTTGGGGGACCTCTCCCCTGGGCCCCTAGGTGCTCGGGAGAAGCTTAGTGTGTCCCAGGTGTCTCTAGTTTCTCCTTGATTCATGTGATAAGTCTTTACGGACGTGACCTAATTCCAAACACCAATTAGGTGCTTTGGACATTGTCATAAAATCTGCCACTTACCTCATCCCGTTCTGTTCCGTGCACATTGGTGTGTAAGCGGTTGAAGTGTTTTTAACCTATTTCCTAAGAAGAAAACCCTGAGGAGGTTCACAATATGGGAGTCAATGGTAACATCAGATATTAACACGGGTCTTGTAACCTTGCTGAGATTTGTCCCCTCACAAAGATACCTCAAACTGTTTTAAAGACAACTTCATCAACTTTCCTTAGGATTGTGAAGTTAATAACTAAAGCATTTCTAAGCGTTAATAACAGGCAAAGAGGCGTCTCGAAGAGAGAAAGTCAACGCCTATAAAAGTGTACACCTGCGCCTTATTTTCCTGTCATGAGAACCATTTGTCCCCAATAACACATTTTACTAGAATCCAAAACTTTCACTTTCACCTTGACTTTGCTTAAGCACACCTAGTCCCATGCAAGAGACAATTGCTTTTATTTTTTTTTTAAATCTTCAGGTTTAGAAAGTTTTTTTTTTTTTAAGATTTATTTATTTATTTATACAAGCACTGGGTACAGTCAGAAGTGCGGGGGGGGGGTGAGAGAATTCACCAGAGCCAGAGCGGGGAGCAGAGCAGGCAGAAGGACCGAAGTACACTGCTGAGGGGAGCAGCGGGCGGCAGGAGAGGTCTGCGCGCCATGTGGGACCCTCCTCCGGTGGCCGGGGAGCAGCCGGGGATCGAACCGGCGCCGCAGCTTTGCAACCCAGCGCTCAACCGCTGCGCCACCGGGGAGGCCCGACAATTGCTTTTATACAAAGAAATTTTACTTATAACCTATGAGGAATCACTTAGTCTCATTCACTAACAACCTGTTACTAAGACACACGTTTCATTTTCCGAGGCCTCGGCTATTTTATTCAGTGTCTCACTTAGGTCATTGCTGTGGGAATTAATTTGCTGATATTCCCTAGCAATTTAAAATTATTTAATTGTTATAGTCACAGTTCTTCAGACTGTTTTAATTAACTGGCTTTTGTTCTTGAAATCAACACCTACTGTTAAGAATCAGTGCCTTAGAAAAGAAGGTTGCTCTTTTGGATGCTAGTTGTGCTTAAAAGGGAAAGTGTGCTAATCACCCTGTTAGAGCATTTAGTGAAGTGAAAGGGTGTCATGCCCCTCAGTGCTGTGTCTTGAGTTTACCTGTCTTAACAGGTGTGTGCTGCCTGCCAGCATTCTCCCATAGAACCTCACCCGCTTCCAAGTGTTCAGCCACCAGAGACGGGCGGAGGCCCCTTCAGTCCCCTCTCTGCTCAGAACGTGTCTTGAGCTGCAAACTGCACACACAACACCCCGCCAGGCTCCTTGCTGACACGCCTTAAAGACAACTTCAGCCCACAACACGCTTCACGCGGCCCTGCACCTGAGCCAGCCCCGCCAGTGCTTTCTGTCTCATGGAACGGCTGCTCTGTCTACCCCCAAGCCAGTGATTCTGGAATCTTCCTCACTCCTCCTTTGGTCTGTCGTCACATTTTGTTGACCCGACCCTGTGTCCGTCAGTCACCTTGTGTCACCGCAGCTGCCAAAGCTGCAGCCCAGAGGCCCTCGGCCTTTCATTGCCTAGACTCGGGGTGCCACCTCTGGCCCTTCTTGTTCTTCCCCACCACTGTTCACTGTTTCCAAGAAGCCCCGGGTACCGAGTGCCGACAGCAGGTCGCTGGGAAGGGCCGTCCCTGCGGCTGGACCCTCCTCTGCTCTTCCCGGCCATCTCCGCGCGGGTGAGGAGGTGTCTTCACTTGGCCTCACGTGGGTGTGATTGTGTCATGTCCACTAAGCAGGAAACTGCTTCTTCCCGGAGCTGACCCCCCAGCACACCCCTTGTCTTGAGGAGGCAGGTTCGTATGGATGAAGACACCCCTCCTTTGCCCACCTCCCAGGCCGGTGGGTGCCTGTGAGTAATCCCGCCTCCCTTCCTGGCCGTCACCGAAGTTGTCATTCAGTGTCTGTTTCCCCCTCCCAGCTCAGGGCCCGCTGTGCGCAGCCCCTGGCGTGCCGCGGGTTCCCGTGTCGGTCACGGAGCGCGGGGCGTGAGCGCGCGAGTGTGTGCGGAGTCGGTGACGATGTGGCTATAATTTTGGTTCTTGCTTATTGGCCCAACATGCTGCCCATTCAGGGAAACCTTTGTCGTCTGCCGTGAGGACAGGTGTGGAAGCCTGTGCTCATACCCTCGTCCTGTGCGCAGATCGACACTGAGCCGAGGTCGAAGACTGTCCTCCCCCTTGGCAGAGGGACTGTTACCGCCCTCCTTGCGCGCCCCTCAGTCGTAAATAGGACTTTCAGAAGTTGGGACTTTTTAAAGAAGGAACATTTTATATCCTTAATAGTTAAATGTTGCCTTTAAAATTATTTCTCAAATTTTATTAAAATTCATGAAAATGAATCAGCAGAATAGATGAAGCTAAAACTTGGGGAGATCAGAAACCAAATTGCAAACTTAAACCTTGTGAATGGGAGTCTCGTCTTGGGCCTCCCCACAGCTTCACTTATTTTTATGACGGGAGAGCTCTGGAAGGCGCTTGTATCCAGAGAAAGTCAGAAATGATTATATTTGAGAATTTTAATTTCACTCTATGGAGATGTTGCTCTCCTAGAAACGAAACAAGGATGTCCCTTTTTATGTCACGGCACAGATTTGAAGTTTTCCGCGACCCCATCAGCTGTGCTCGCGTCCTCGTGTCCCTTCTGCCCGGGCATGGGCCATGAGGCCAGACCTCACCTCTGGCTGCCCCGTTGCGTGGGGAAAGGAAAACTCCACGAGCCGTTTCGTCTCAAAACTGCAGCGGCCTCACAGGCCCTGCCCTGGGGACTGCGGTGTAGACAGGGGGGATCTGGACTCGCCGGGCTGGTAGCGGGGTGGTTGGGCCTTGGGGTGGACACAGATGACTGGATGGAGGCGGGTCTGGAGCGATAAAAACGCAGTGACAGACTCGCCGAGGAGCGAGGACATTAGGCCCGAGCGGCGCTGGTCTACAAGAGGGACGGTGTCCGGGGGACTCGAGCTGACAAACATCTTAAAATCATCAGCTTCCAAGTTAGGAAGCGCATCCTCGCTGCAAGCTTGAGGAGTCCGGCCGGCGCTCCTGCCTGCCCTCCCCGCGGGCTGAGGGGCCGTGAGCTCTGCTCTGTTTTAATCCAAATGTCATTTTTATTGGCTTGAATTTGAATACCGAGAAGAGGGCCGACCTTCCCAGAATGGTAGCTGGTGCCGCTTTGGCTGTGCCTGGAAAGGGGAACGTATCATGACGCAGCAGTGACAGTAACGCAGACGTTTGGGGGCAAGGCTGTGACTGCCAGGAGAACCCCTGGACATCCAGCGTCTATAGAACAAAGTGGTCTCTGTCTCCGGAGGGGCAGACGACAGCCCCCAAAGTCACGTCCTCACACCTGCCTGTGTCTTTTGATTCTTCACTCTCCTTTACAAGTCCATCCTCCGCCTGGTGGCAGTGCTGCACATGTGATTCCCACTGCTCTTTTTTTTTTTTCTAAGATTTATTCATTTATGCATACAAGAGCTGGGGCACAGGCCAGAGAAACGGGGGTGAGAGGATCCACCAGAGACAGGTGGGGAACAGGACAGGCAGACTTGACTGAATCCACTGCTGAGGGGAGCAGCGGGGAGTCAGGAGAGGTCTGCTGCACCATGTGGGTAGCTCCCTGGCCAGCTGGGGATCGAACTTGTGCTGCAGAGACTGCGGATGGCTTCATAGTGGGGTGCTTAACCCCTTGTGCCACCAGGGAGGCCCCCCACTACTGTTACTGAAGTAAAATTTTCTCCAATATGTCATTTTACCTCTATATTTCTATTATGATTTATGCAATTGCAAAATAAAGTGAGAGAAAGTAACTTAACCAAGGCTAACCTCTCACTCCAGTTATGGTAAAACAAACCAGGCGTGTGATGTTCTGAAGCACCGTTACTGATGAAAGTAATGACGATATTTCAGTCCGTTGCTGTGTCCCCATGAAGAAGGCATCATCCTAAGTATTTTACTTATGTTTTCTTTTTTTTCAACCGCACCAAGCCCTAACAGAGATTTTATTAATCCAATTTTACAGACGAAGAGACTGTTCCTTTCAGAGATCTAATAATTTGTGTAAGATATAAAGTAACTAATTAATGTTCTGACATCGCAGACCATTCCGGAGTGTGGATCGTTTACGTGAGGATGTGAGTCCTAAGTCATGAAAGACTTCACCTTCCCTTAAAAGCCGCCATAAGAGAAAAGTCCGATGACTACTTACTCCAAGTCCAGAAAATGGGAGCGATCTGGCTTCTGAGGTAACTATGCATTCGTATTGACTTCTTGTCTGAAAAGTTTTATGTGTTGACTGGAAATAGCTGTGTGTCCTAAAGAAATGCTGTGTCTTGAGCATATTAAGTTTATGCAGCGAAGGATCTGTTGAAATACTGAGGGAGTCAAACATTGCTTGCACATGCCGTGTGTCCTGGGAATGTCCTAGCAATCACACACACACCAGGAAGCACCCCTGGCACGTGCGCGCGTGCACACACTCACACACACAATTAACACTTCCATGGAACGCAGTAACTGTGCGGCAAGCGTTGGCTATGGCTCTTCTTACAAGAAACCTCATGTGAAGCTACTCTATCTCGGGAGCTCCGCCATAACTGACACGGATATTAAATGCTGTTCTCCTGTGTGATATTTTCCAGTGAACACAAACTATCTTTCCAGTGAAATTTGAACCTGAAAATTCAATCTGGGGAATTCAACACATTAAAAGAGAGCTTAGACGTGGGGCCGTCAGCGTGTCGGGGTCGGGGCCAGAGTTCTAGAATGCCTCCCTGGTTTTCACTCCTGATTCACATTCTTCAGTAAGGAGTCAGCCTTGAAATACATACAACAGAAATTGCTAGAGGCCAAATTTCCACCATTTCAACACCAACATCCACCTCCCAAAGGAACCTGATTTAGTCCGTTTGTTAATCCATTTACTTGCTATGACCACGCAGACAACCCTTGGGTACATGCGAGCTTTCCACTAATTTGGGAACATCAAGAAGCTCGCTGTATTAAAGTACTTTCTGTGATTTCTTAAAACTATTTCTTAGAAAACTTGTGCTAAGGCTTTACAACTTTTTATGGTTGGTTATTTGTGCAAAAAATGTGTACATCAGTTATCCAGAAAACCTTGCAGATAGTCCAGGTCATTTTTTTAAAAAGATTTATTTATATATACAAAACTGGGGTACAGACCAGAGGTATAGTGAGTGAGAGGACTCCCCAGAGACAGAGTGGGGAACATAACAGGTGGATCCACTGAAATCCACTGCTGAGGGGAGCAGCGGGGAGACAGGAGAGGTCTGCTGTGCCCTTGTGGGTCAGCTCCCTGCCCGGGGATAGAACTCAGGCCGCAGTGGCTGGCAGTAGCTTCATAGTGCTGAGACTTGACCCCCTGCACCACCAGGGAGGCCTGGTGTGACCGCCGTCCATCAGGAGATGCAAGTGGCCGTGCCAGCGTCGCCAAGGCCTGACTGTAGACGGGATGCCCGGCAGCCACGTGGGGTTTCAGGGTGTGTATAAGACAAGAGCCGGCCTTTTGATTTATGACTCAACTCCTGGATCGTTCTCTTTGAATTTTCAATGATCCCCATTCTGCTGTCGGGTAGCAAATTCCATGGGAACTCAGTCCTGTTGGCCAGATGGTGAAGCCGGGGGACGCGCGGAGACCCCAGTAGATTAAGTGCGGGGCCAGAGGCCAGCAAGTGATGAGCATGCAAGGCCCCCCCCACCCCCAATCCGTGCTTTGGATGCTGGCTTACTCTCTCCAAATGCTTTACACAGTTGCCAAAAAATCTGCATAGAAATAATATTCATTTGTGCTTGCAGCATTCATTAGTTACCCTGGATTTTCTCTGAATATCAAACACATGCCCAAGTGAGATGGGACATAAAAGCAGCGGGCAAAGCAATGCAATTACCCAAGGAATAGTGCCAGGCCTCGGCGCCAGGCGCGGGCCGACCCACCCAGCCCCACCGCGTCGCTTGCTGCTTCCCTCTTGGGGCGTGGGTTGGCCACCAGCTTTAAAGAACTTAATGAGCTGCTTAAACCACCTCCGGGCTTTTTAAAGTTTTAGGTGTGTTTCCCGTGGGTGTCCTCTTCGTCACCTCCCCCAAGTCGTGCCCTTTGACCCCCGGTTCCACCTCATCCCAGCCACCTGCACTCTGCTCCTCCTTTGCTTTCACATCTTGTTTTCTGCTCCCTGTAACTCAGCCAACTTACATTTATGCCTTAGGTGACAGCGTGCCTTGACATATTTTTCATTGTTTACTGATTCATTTATTCAGCGGAGCTACAGGGTCCCAGTGAACTGACTGAGAGTCGCTGCGGGAGCGCTGGCAGGCAGGGCCGGGAGGCCGGGGCTGGGCCGTGTTCTGGACGGTTCTGCCGAGGAGATCCGTGTTCCCCAATCAATATTCTTTGCTTTAAAATTGCTCCTGGATTTAAACAGCGTGGCCCTATCCAGGGCTGTGTATTTCCATCTGTGCTTATAATTGCAATTTTGATTTTTTATTTGGATTATAAGCCTATCCCAGCTGGGTTTTCGCATGTGGCTTCATTCTGGGTGGCAGAAATAAGATCTATTTAATATCAAGCCTATTGCAGCTTAAAAAGCCCCTTTGCCTTCCACCCTGGGGCAGGTGGCTTCATTCACATGGTAAAAATAAGGAATTGGAGATTATTGATCACAACTTGCCATGCGCGGAGAGCTGATCCCACCGCCGCTGGAAAGCCAGGGAGGCGATGCCAGTGGTCACGCGCGAAGGGTCCTTTCTTGTGGTCGTTTAACCCATTTTATTTCAGTTTTTTTTATGGCAATACTAGCCAAAGGAATTTATTTACAGAAATCAAGAGGTTTTCCATTTTCATGAAACAAAGCTTCCAGAACCAAGGCATTCCAGGCACTTTCCACACTGTTTTTCTAATGCCACTAATTCCTCTTCGCTGTAATGGGATTTTGTGTCGTTGCCATTCTCGTGGGGTTTCTATGCTCTCAGTCCACAGACACGGTGTCGCAGTGTCGCAAGGAATAAGCTGGAGAGTCTATGGAGATGTATGTCAATGATGCAAATATTTCCAGCCGGCAGAAGTAGCAGTATGTCAAAATGATGGCAAATAATCCTCGGGGATTTCTGGGCACACTATTTTCTAGAGCAAAAACAGTGCACAGAAGAGGATGTCAACACAGTTGTAATGAGACAATGATCTGATTATCACGGCGACAGTAAAACGGAGAGGGCTGCAGCTCCCGCCTATCTGAAATATTCGCTCTCTGGGGAAGTGATAATTTTATACAGCCTATTGCAAAGCACTTAAAAGCTTCTTGTATCTTAAAAAGAAAATTTCTGGTCAGCCAAGCAGAAGGGGGGCTGGGATTTTAGCGCCAGGCCGCTGCGTGGCTGGCCGAGGTCTGACCGCCCCCCCAAAGTGACCTCTGATGCTCCCCTCTTCCGTGGCCGTGTCAGGGGTGGCTCAACTTTGGCAAATCTGAGTCTGACGTAGTCAGATATGTTCATAAAACTTCTGAAATGTGATTTTAAAAAATGAGGCATGGCCTTCATTAGATAAATGGAAGTGGGGGGAGAGGTCACCCGTGATTTATTTAATTCCTTAAGTGTATTCGAGATAATGCCACCAGAAGAGTGATTTGACCTCACTGGGTAGAGCAATTTATTATAAATAAAGATATTTCGGGTGGCACTCATTCCAGTCTCGGCACATGGATGGCGTCCAAGCTAAAATATTGAAATGCACGATTTTGAATGATGTGAGCCGCTCAATCATTGCCGCCGTGTGCAGCGCCAGGGAGTGATTTCCCACCGCGGGGCTATTAGTGGGACGGGGAGTAGCTCGGGGCCGACCCTGGGGCGGGTGTGAGGGACAGCGTGATACCCCAGCCCGCAGGAGAAGGAAGAGCTTGTATGTCAGGCGCGTGCTCCATCCGGAGAGCGAAGTCCTTCCAAGTATGTTTTTCTCCTCAAGTCCGAGTGACAGAGGGAAGCGCAAGTGTGGCCTCCTTTTCCTGGGGACACGGGCTCACTCATAGTTCCATCTTCTTTCTGATAATATATCTCTCAATACCATCATCCGAAGTCAGTTACTTGTGTCTCCAGTTTCCCAAGTTTCCCTTATTTCAAGGAGGTTCGGAGGGGCACCTACTATGAAATCATTTTTCTGTAATATTTGACTTCTTCCGTAATACTCTACTCTTTCACTTACCAAATTGGAATTAATTCTAGTTTTAAAATTCCATTTAGTTTCCGTCTAAAACCCCTGGTTTGAGGACTAACACAACTGAAATCATGACTGACTGGAAAGCTGCAAGAATCAGGGCAGTTGGCGGAATAGTAGACAAATAGATCGCTGGAACGAATAGAAAGTCCACCTGCAGTCAACTGACCCTTGACAAAAGAGCAAGAGCAATACAATGGAGCGAAGGGGGTCTTTTCAGCAGACAGTGCTGGACAACTAGGCGTCCACATGCAAAAAAAAAAAAAAAAGAATCTCGACACACACCTTGTACACTTGTCAAGCAAACTCAAAATGGATCATAACCCTTGCTGTAAAATGCAGATCCATGAGCTCTTGCAGGTAATGCAGAAGATCACCTTGGCTGCGGAGATGGCTTTTAGATAAACTATAAAGACACAACTCATAAAGAAATACCAGAAAACTTGTAATTCATTAAATCCTCCACAATGTCAACAGAATTAAAAGACAATGAATTGATAAGAACATTAGCAAAGCTCCATCTAATAAAGGATTGTTCTCCAACATATGTAAAGAGCTCTTGAGATTCAACAGTGGGGAGTCCATGCCTGCTGGAGGCAGGTGCCTTAACCTTCTGCTCAGTTTTGCAGCCCTAACAAGGCTGGTGGCGCAGTGGTTGAGCGCTGGGCCGCAAAGCTGCCTGCAGCCTCTGCAGCACCGGTTCCATCCCTGCGGGCGAGGGTCCCGCATGGCGCGCAGACCTCTCCTGCCGCCCGCTGCTCCCCTCAGCAGTGTACTTCGGTCTTTCTGCCTGCTCTGCTCCCCGCTCTGGCTCTGGTGAATCCTCTCACCCTCCCGCGCTTCTGACTGTACCCAGTGCTTGTATAAATAAATCTAAAATAAAAAAAGAATAAATAAAAAAGTCTATTGCAAAAAATTCCACTTCAGGTAACTGGCCTGCTATAAAACAATGTAGCTTTGTTTTTATAGAACATTTACCATGTTTCATTTTATTTTTTGCAATCATGCTCTTTGAGATAGGGTTCTAAGCCCTGGTTTGCAGATGTGAAATCTAAGGTTTGAAGATAATAAGTTGCAAAATTCAAGCAGGATAATCAAGAATGTTAGCAGCGTGAGTCAGCCGTGGAGAGGGGCCACAGTCAGCTCGCCGAGGGGTCTCCGCGCTCCATCCGTCCACGCTGCTGACCATGTGTCTGGACTTCTCCCCGCTGACCCTCCCTCCGTCCGCCCATCCGCCCTGCAAGCCCCCTTGCAGCGAGGCCAGCTTTTCTGTCACTCTGCCGCTGCTGGTCACCCTGTGCTCAGAGAAGGAGCAGACGATCCACGGGTTTCTTCCCCGGCTCCCTGCTCCCTCCCCACCCTCCCCTGTTCTCCACACCCCCCCACCCCCCACCCCCCTGCCCCCACTCCTCCTGTCCGCCTTCTTTTATTTTTACCACTCAGAAAACGGAGCCACATTTTGGGCAGGGCTTTAGCATAATAAGAGTGGTTATAGCTTTTGTAGAATCTTTATTTTTAGCAGCGAACGCACATACACGCCCATGGGTGCAGATGGACTGGGAGGCGCCCCGTGTAGCTCCCTTCTGATTCCACCTCGCTTCCCCCCGAAGCTTTTATTGTCTGAAAAAGAGAGGTTCACCCGGACATGGGGTGTTTGTAGATACAACCAAACCCTCTGTATTGTCTGGAATAAAGTAATAACCTTCATTTCCAGCACAGGCCGTTTGCACGGTGAAGGGTTCTCTTGGCTGGAACAGTGAGAATTTTTGGAAAAAAGATTGTCCGTGAAATAATTTCACCCCATGTCAATAATCTACTTTTTGTTTCCTATAAATCCAAATTAATAGGGAAGCGCTTGAAGTGGAGAGGTGATTTCTACGGACTTATGCTGATGAAAACTGTCGAGTCTGCAGACGCTTCAGTTCAGGGCTGGGTTCCTCACGGGGCTCTGTGCGACGCCCGGGAGCGGCTGCCCCGTGACCGTCCTGGGCGTGCGGCTTCTGGCCGCGAGATGGCACAGTCACGGCGGGTTGCCCAGGTCAGAGCAAAACTAAAGTCACCGCCTCACAACCCACTTGAAATGGTGAAGTGCGGCTCGTCGAGGGCTTTCATGTGGAAGATGTGTGGCAGGAGAGCGAGGACACACAGACGCGGCCTCTCCGCGTCCTACCGCCGGGCACCGCGTCGTGAGGCGTCCTCTGCCCCCCCCCGGCAGGCGCGCCCTGTGTTTGGGGAGACACGGCTGATGTGAAGGACGCTTCTGTCACTGCGGGGCAGACCTGGCATTGCTTGAAATGCCCCTTTTCCCCTGTATCTGCCTTAAGACCCGTGAGGGAAGTCAGGGGCCATCTCCTGACCCGCTGGTTCTTCATCACTCCTAGCACTGATCTAACATTATCATCTTTGTCACCACCCTTTGCAGCACGTCCTGGAGATCAGCCTCCCCCTTGCTCGGCCGTGCACCTCCGTGTCGCCTCCGCCTTTCCCAGAAAGCTCCGAGTTGTCACTCCAGCCCGCGCGCTGCAAGGTCTTAGATGCCCCCAAATTGCCTGACCCCTTTACTCCAGGAGCATTTTATCCAAACTCCGCAGGGACGGGGCCGGTGAGAGATGAAAATGAGACGACTCATGGGAAAGCCTCAAGGTCTCGGCCTGTGGCGGCCGTTAACCGGGCGTGGCCCTTCCAGCCACCCCGTCCTGCGCCCCGAAGCAGCCCGACCTGTCCCTGGGACGTCCTGCCAGAGCGTCCTTCGTGGCTGCTGCGCCCATCCTGGCCTTTCGTCCCCACACTCTGATTCTCCCAGGCTGAGCAGAGACTCTCACATGCCCTTTCCTTATTTTCCCAGAGGAAAAGTCAACAAGAGCACATATTTAAAAAAAAAATTAAGGTTTATTTATGCGTACAGGAGAGGCCTGCTGCGCCATGTGGGCCGGCTCCCTGGCCGGGGATTGAACTCGGGCTTCAGTGGCTGACAATAGCTTGATAGTGCTGAGGCTTTAACCCCTGCGCCGCCAGGGAGGCCTATTTCAAATTTTTTCTTCAAATAATTTTATCCTAGAGCCTCGTCAAAGGCATCGTTGGTGTAACACCCTCATCAGGGAGGTGGTGTGACAACATCCTTCCCCCCACAAGGTTTCAACCTGACTTAGTTTTGTTGACTCAGTGTGGACTCATCACCTGAAGCACAGTTCTTTCCAGAGCGTGGTCACATACTCAGGGACATTAATTCCCTTGGCGACGCGGTGGGTGTGATGGCAGCATTTCCAGAGGCCATTGAAAAAAATCAGAGGCCAAACACAGCCCCTTGGTGTCAGGCCTGGAGCACTGCCGCCGCAGGCAGGCCCGCCTCTGCCAAGGCTGGAGTTTGTAGCAGCCCTGCTCCCTCTGGTCTGCATCCGGGTTCCCCAGGAGCTGACTGCTCAGTCTCTTCTGCTCTGCTGCGCCCGAATCCCAGAGTCCAGCAGCTGGTCAGAAGGTTGCACGTCATCTGCTTTGCTTATCCCGTGAGCTCCGTGGCATTTGCGTTTTCTCTCTCTCTCTCCCCCACCCCCAGCCTCTCCCCACCCGCCCGCAGGTAATGCAATGCAGCTAGTTCACTGGCCCTGCAAAGGGGCCGCTTCAAAGTGCAGTTACTAATTTTGTCCCAGTTGGAAAGAAGGCTTGGTGACTAGTATTGGTGAATCTGAGAAATATTTGTGACCATTTTCTCCAAAGGAAAGTTGTAGAGTTAGATGGAGAATTCATTTGTGTGTAGGTCCAACACTGTGTCTACCGGACCTGGAAATACTGAACGTAAAAATCTTCACCCTGTCTCTTATGCAAAGAGAATGGCAGCAACGCCAGTGCTGACAAATCCAATTTATTCAGTCTTCCCACTTAAAAATAGTTTCAGATCTCATGTCCCCACTCAGGATTCTCAGTTCTCGTACTTCAGCTCATCTAATACTTCAACTGAAAGATAAAAAAACAGAAATACACCGAAGGGTAAGCTGTAACCATCTGTGCCAAGGTCTGAAGAATTTTAGTTATATAATAATTTAAGATGTATTGACTATGTTGTCATGGTATATGCCGAAAGACAATCTAGAGGTGAAAGATTAATTTTGGCTTCCGATATTTCATCATTGTATCATTAGCATCAATTATTCTTGGATTCACTTTTTGTAATACTGTTTTCTCATCATCTCTTGATAGAAGAGCGGCAGGATCTATTTATAACAGGTGGGATGACGTATCCTAAGCAAATGATCAATGATGGTATCCCCTGCAGACTGTGCTTCCTAGGAGATTCCTGGGTGTGTTTTCATGAGACTGTGACTTTTTCTTTAGATTTTTCAGAGTAACTTATAGGCTCTGCATACAGAATTACAAAAATATGCAACTAAACCAATTTTTCAAAATTTTCAAGTCTTACGTTGCTTTTATCAGAATAGTTTCGATGGAATTATGTGCGTGTGTGAGTGTGAGTGTGTGAGTGTGTGTGTTGGTCTGAATTATTTTAACAATTGCCTCAGTTCTCCATTTGCTCTGCTGTTATGTGTGGATGAATATAGTTCAAAATTTGAGGGTAAATTTGAACCTCCTGAAGATAAGTCTTTTATCTTATGAAAATTATTTTTAAATTTTATTAAATATATATAAATGCTTTAATATGGTAAAATTAGTATGTAAAATATTATATATTTAAAAGTAAATAAATAACAGGCTGAAGAGCTATAGTAATGGCACATACAAGATTAAATTAAATTTCTTCATCTGAGCTTATTTTTGAACTCAAACTAAAATCTATGTAGAAACACTTGATCATAGACTAAAGCGTTTATTTTTATGGTTGATTTTGCTTTGTTTATTTTTTCAGGGCGTGTATACAGTAGATTTAGAACCTGAGAAATATATATATAATATATATATATATATATATATATATAAAGACAGCAATGAGAATTTCCAAATAAGATGTTTTACCCACTTTAAGCTTTATGTAGGCAATTTTGTTGGACTGATTTATTAATCATCTTGAGCAATTTTAGTTATTAATAGAATTGAGTAATTTATTAATAGTAGAGCTTGCATGACGACCTTAGGAATAGTCCAGCTAAGAATCAAACTAATTTTCCTGGATGATTTTACAATGCATTATGTCTATTCAGGGGGTATCATCGAGAAGGTATTTGCTGAGATTTAAATCATCCTAATAAAATCTGTCTTCATGAGAAATACTTTTAATCTTATAGGCTTAAGATATTTTAATATTTTTGGTTAAGAACACCTTAGCATTCAAAACCATTTTATCTTAGTAAAGCTTGTTATAGATGATACACTTTATAATTAATTTGCGGTGCCTTTGGTGATTCAAAAAGTGTTATAAAGTTCTTGGATGACAATTATTATTCTGCTTTAAACATTTTAATAAATCACTGTTCTTTTCCTTAAAGGAAACCATAGGACATGAGCTGTTGCTAAGAAAGTTAAATTGAAGTGTCTCCAATGTACAAGTTATGTTTAAAAATTGAATAAAGTTGGGCTTCACGGTCATAATTTATTGAATAAGCCTAAAATAACATCAGAAAAAAGCCAGTTGCTTATAAAAATTATTTCTTCACATTAGCTATTCTTACATTTTGAATGATGCAGCTAAGGGCTGGTGAGAAATATTTATAAGAGCAGGTCATCACAATAAAATAGGGACAATGTAGTTTAATCATTTTATTTATTTATTTTTGAAATGTGCTTAATGGGAAGGATGAGTAACTGCCTTGCTTCAAAATTAAATTCTGTTGCCTCGAGTGAGAGATTTGAGTATTAACATAACATTCTATTTATGTGAGTTATGCCATAGTTTTGTCATTTTTTACATTATAGTGCAGGGAATGTTGCTGATTTATTGTTGCATTTTTAAAGGGCAATGCTATGCTGAAGCCGGAGAAGGCAGGAAGCTAAAAATCGTTATTTGTCAAAAACTCAGTCTCGACATGGTTTATGGTCACCGACGATTTGCCCTATTTATAGGGCTGTATTTAGAAGTAAGCTAATCTCGCAAGATCAGGTATGATGGATGTTTTCCTCTTTATTATATTCCAATGTTTCATTTTTGGTTTTTACATGGTTATAAGGTCCAAGATATATGAAGTTATGTGGTAGTGAAAACGGGCGTAGTGTTTTCTATTTTCATTATACTCCTTTGAAGAGAACTATTTCTGCGTATTCAGCTTGGGCCCTCGCACCATCCACTATAATCAGAGTAATTTTAAAAATATCAAATGAATTATGAATACCGTCTTCAGCTATGCAAGTGCGATGCGGAATGGCTGCATAAGGATTTGAATGCGATGGTGTAGTATGTAAGGTAAGTGCCACCAATGAGAAAAACTTTCCTACTTATAAATTACAAAGGCTCGAGAACTTGAAACTTTTACAGGATTATTTCACAGTTGAACTATTAGAAGCAAAACCTGACCACCTGTGATTCAGCCAAGAATCTGGAAACACAGAGAGCAAACCTGTAAGTCACTATTCAGAAAGGCTCAGAGTGTGACTATATTTGCAATCTACATTCAAATGCATTTCTTAATTCAGTCTCTTAGATTCACAGAAGAATAATGTAGTATGTTTTAGTTTTTGAACAAACATCTATTGGTAAATGTTCATTCTGAGTGAAAGTTTTAAAGCAAGCAGTGAGGATACTATTTCTATACATCTACAAAATAATGGTATGCTACATGTTGGCCAAATTCCATATGCCATGATGCAATGATCCAAGGTCTGTGCCCAGCTAACTGCTGTAGTAAGTGACCTGGGTGTTTAAGCCACCCGCTCAGGAGGCAGATGGCCCCCCACTGAGCACCATGCAGATGGAGCCGCCAGCGCCATCTCGGGGGCCGAACATGACGTCTGCCTTGCAGCGTCTGCTTAGACTGTAATAGATCGTGCATCGTAGAGTTGTCACTCCATGAGCGTTGGGTCCATCCTTTGGATCAAAAATCAAACTAGCAAAATGTCCACTCCAGTTTCTTAGACACTAAAGATGCTCTGCTCCACCTTGGAAAAAACGATTTTGTTCCTGTGGGAAAATAAAATGGCAAGTATTCCTAGATTTCAGAACACAATCGGGTGAGGAATGGAGCACATTGAATTGGTAAAGCTTCGTCTATAATTACCACTGGCAACAGGCAAGGAAAATATTATATTGCAACTGACCTGAATAATAGAGAGGGCTGGAGGAAGTCTTTTATTGGAGACACCAAGTGAAAACTATGAAACACAAAGGGGAAAAGGCAGTTTCGTTGAGAATAAAATATTCATGTTGATAACTTACATAAAACAAAAGATGGAGTGTTTTCTGCAGGGAAATTACTTTCCTTGATGAGCTCCATTTATGCATGATGGAGTTTTAAATTTTTGAAAACCCCCTTGGTTATTTTTTCTTCCTTTCAATTCTTGTGATTTTAATTTCAGACATAAACAGATGTAAAATTTTCTTGCTAAAAGCTTCTTACTCTGTTTAAAGTCGAATTTATGACAGAGAGAAAAAAACCCACAATGCCTTCTTATAACGACAATGATTAGGAAATCAATATTTGAGCCATCCATCTCAGGAATTACACAGTGAACAAGGGCTCCGCTCGTTTTGAAACTACCCTCAGATAAAATATATCTTCATTTACTCTGCTCGTTTTAAACTTTGTTTTGTTTGACGCCTATTCTTGAGGGAAGCTGAGTGTTACATCCACTAACCAGCAGCTTGAGTTTGGAAGCAATTTTGTTTGCGTGAAATGCGCTGTAGGAATGACTTTGTCTGAGTGGCCTGCAAGCTACGTGTTAAGGTTCAAATATTTACTTCTTAAGGGTAGAGAACTGTTGATTTTACTTGGTAATTTAATGCAGGAGACAGTTTAGAAGCGGCTCTGGCAAGTGAGAATGGACTCCGACATAGAGCCTATCGCTCGAGTCAGAAGAGGGGGGAAGGCAGAGTGAGCCTCGGCTCTGGGGACTTGGGCGCGGACACTGGAGCAGATGGCAGAGCTTGTGGGCTGGTCTCAGTGTGTGGCTTCCTGCTAACCCGCAGGATTACCCCGATATTCCTGGCCCTTCTGCCAGACCCATTATGTCTACTTCCTTCCTTTATGCCAAAGGGGGGCAGCCAACGCCCCCCTCTGCCGACAGCCTCTGCCCCTCGCTGCCACCTTGTGTCTGGTCTCCTCAGGCCTCCTGTGATTGCCCGTGTAGGGAGAGGGACTTGTGTTTCCACAAGTTTTGAATAATAATTTGATTTTCAAAAAGCAGTTTTTGCATAATTCATGTCATATGACCCTTACGAAAACTGAGTGAGCGCGTTGAGACGGGAGGGTCTATTTCCTACACATCAGGAAGGAGGAGCTCGGTCCCGCCGGGCCCACAGCAGGTCGGTCCCTCGAGGGCAGACGTGCTCTCTCCCCTGTGCCTCCCTGTGCCTCCCGAGCCCGGGCGGTGGCCATCCTGAAGCTGGGGGGTTTGAAATCTGCTTTGCGGAGAAGGCTGTCAGGCAATGATCCACAAGACGGAGTCTCTTTCTCACCCACACAGACAATTATCACATCGAAGAGAATTTTAGAAAACCAGGGGTGTGGGCAGAAACGCCTCTGCAGAAGGAGTGTGGAGACATTAACTCTTTGGTCACTGGACAGAAGCCCCGTTCGGCGTGTGGGAGCAGCCACAGACCCGGCCGCTGTCGCCAACTTCTCTAGAGAGGACAGTGGGTGTTTTTTTCTTTGAGTTAAGTAACAAAAATAAATATTTGAGTGCAATGTCAAATATAAAGACCACATCAGCTGCACATCACAGGGATTTTACTTGGGGTCTCGCTGAGTCTGTGGGGCCAGGAGATGTTTGCTCACTCAGAGGATGACCGTGGTAGGCGCCGAGGGAGAGACAGGAGGAGCACGCGCCAGGGGTGGAGTAGAGAGGCTTGTAGGGAGTGGACGGATGTGGTGTGTCCAGAACCTTAGTTTCTTCACATCTCTGTGCCCCGAGTTGTAGCCTTATTTTTAAATAGTTTTGTGATACTGAGCCATGTGATTCTGAGTCATCAACATTTTTCCTAAGGCTTAAAGATAGAGAATGAGATACTTGCTGTCAAATATTAGTTCCTGGAGGAATGTGTCCATAACCGTGCAGAACCTCTGGGAGAGTTTTGCACGTGGTGACTCGTCAGTGGAATCTTTCAGCTTGTATTTACTGGAAACCCAGTGAGTCAGTGTGATTGGTGCACACACCTTGCTGGATGCTAGTGTAGCTTCTTGTGCTCCAGTGTTTGACTGGAGATCGGCTGGGTCGTGCGTTCCCAGAATTCCTGCCTCTTTGTAAGAGGCCGTTGTCTCTTTTGCCCCTGGCGGCGGTGGACCAAGCGTTCTTACAGAGCGGGCGTGAGGGGTGTCTGTGTCTGCCCTGCCCTGCCCCACCATCAGCTAACGCTGCTCTTAAGCCCTGGGAGCGTGATGAGTGCAACTGGTAATTGAGCATTTAATTGAACTTTAATTTTAATGAACTTTAATTTTAGAAGCTGGAGGTGGCCACTGTACTGGGCAGTGCTACTGGTCGTTGCAGGAGACTTGAGTTTCCACGGCAAGATTTTTGATACATTTGACATGAACTTGCTATTGCTTATATCTTGTGGCCTGGATATAACTGAAAGAGATGTTTTCTTGGCAGAAGAAAGAACTTATCTCAAGATGAAAAATGTAGGTGTGAGCTGAAACTCATTTTCCCAACTCACTTGGGGGATCACAAGTAACTTGTTTATGTCAAAAAATCTGCCAAAACAGGTAGATAGAATTGCACAGAATGTGATTTTTTTCAAAACCTTGAAAGAGTTAACATTAACAATTTTCTTTATGTTTAGTCTTTGAATAACAGTCACTTACAGAGACAGAAACCATAAAAATAAACAAAATTACGTTTATAATAGCAGGGAAATCTTGTGGTGGCCTGAAGAAAGACACATGGGTCACCAACTCATTTCTCTCCATCATGTCTGATGTTTAGAGCATCTGTGAGACAGACTTTTTGTCTCAAATATTTGTATTTGAACAAGAATGCACGTGATTGAGGGCCTCCCTGGTGGCGCAGAGGTTAAGTCTTGTGCTATCAAGCTATCACCAGCAATGTGGACTGAGTTCGATCCCTGGCCAGGGAGCTACCCACATGGCACAGCGGACCTCTCCTGCCTCGCCTGCTGCTCCCCTCAGCAGTGGATTTCCGTGGGTCCCTGGGGTGTCCTCTCACCCCCCCCACAATAGGCCTAGACCCCAGTTCTTGTGTGCATAAATAAATAAAATAAACCTTTAAAGAAAGAATGCACATGATTGAGCGTTTTCATTCATAACAGAGAAGAAGCGGGCGCCCTGCCCACGTCTGCAGCCTGGACATCTTCTCCTGCTGCTAGAGGTTGTGCTCGCCATCACTTTTTCCTCTTTCCCTTTTTTTTTTTTTTTGTAAAATTTCTCAGCTATTATATTTACTCCTTCAACAGATTTATTAAGTGTCCATTATATGCTAAGCATTGTTCTGAGCATGGCTGTAAGGCAGTTGAAATAAAAAAAAAAATCCTTAAAGAAATTGGATTGTAAGGGAAGGAAACGGGAATAAGCAAAGTAAATGAAACACGTGGCGTGTGGAACAGCGGCGAACGTTCTGATCTTTTCCAGAAGGACCCATCTCTGCCTCTCTAGTTTCTGCAGTCTCTTGTAACTCCACATCACCGGCACATGAAGTGATTGCAGCAGGCTCTGGTGACTTCTCTCACCAATATATTGTCTGGCACAGAAATACCGGAGCTGGGGTCATTGCCAATGTTCTTCTCAGAGACCACGCGATGCATTTTGTGCTGCACGACTCTGTGCTCTCGAGGACAGAAGCAACTCTGGTCATGGATAGAGCCCCATGAAGAGTCACAAAACGTGAATTCACTTGACTATAGTGACGTCATGCCTAATATTTGACAGGTGAAAGCAGCAGGCGTGTGCAGAGAAGGTCGCACTAACCTGTGGGTCAGTGAGACCATCAGACTCTGAGAGAGGGTAGAACCTTGCTCAGAACTCGCGAGGAGATGGCCCCAGCTTGTCCTCACGCTCATGATGGGGATGGGCTTGTGCAAATATTTTACAGGGGCCTTGAGATCTTACTCCTGCTAAGATCTCGAGAAGTTTCCGTTTCACTAACTGAGGAACTGAGGGAAATAATTAAGTTCTTCAAAGGCACACAGCTGGTCACTGGCACAGCTGGGGCAGACCTTGGTCTTTATTCTCAGCAAGGGCCACGCTGGTGACCTCGGCCCCACTGTAGGCTGAGCCGGGAAAGTGGGTGCGAATCAGGACTCTCTTCTCTGGGAAGAAGCGGGTTTTCACTTGGTCAGGTGCTGGGCTGAATTTCTCCTCTACGGAAGAGCTAAATGCTGGGGGGAAACTGCGGAAACTTCGAATCTGTTTCCAGGTCTGAAAACTGAAAAACCCAATGACAGCCCCTTGTATGTTGAAATCTTGACTTTCTCTATTAGGAGAGCAGCGGTCAAGGAAGCCACCAAGCTTCCTAATTTCACTTGTGAGTAAAGTCTTAATAGGAAATAGAATCTATTCATGGACATGAAAATTTCATCTGCCTAAAAAGAATGTACATCATTTTATTAAAAATAAGTCTTACAATTTTATTTTTTGTATTGAATGATGCATTCGATACATGTTCAATTCATTTAAGAATTTATGTTTTGTTGTATTATTTTTTACTGAGGGAGCATGATTTGGGGGTAGAGAGTCACACCTCAGTTCCCATAATTTAAAATGAAAGTTTATTCTGCTTGGATCAGTAGACGTCTACATTGCAAACAGCATTTAAAAGTAACTATTTTATTTGTCCACGCTGAGCTTTAAACTCTGTTAGGATCATAATAGCCACTCAATATTTATTCTAGAGATAGCTTGATATGTTTTTCTTCAAATTTAAAATGAATTTATTTTAATACAGGTCTGAATAGGCTATTAATCTCAAGTCATAGCTGATTTCACTGTGGCTACTAAGAAGTGAACTTTCACTTACCTTGATTGCTGTATTTTGCCAAACACCTTTTTTTTTTTTTTTTTTTGAACCTGTTCTTTTGTAAATGAAAACGATATGATTTACCCACTGTGGGTGGGAACACGTTTCAAGTTATTTTTGCATTTTTCGTAATGAATTTACAATAAGCATCCAGTGTCCCACACCGAGACCCAGTTCGCCACTGGATGCTTTGATAGATCACCTGCCGTTTCCAGGGTGTGATCTGTGGCTGGGGATCAGAGATTTCTCTGTGTAAATTTAATTTACTCTTGTGGTGATCAAAAGCTCATTAGCACTCCATTCTATCCAACCGAGCCAAGAGCTTGAAGCAATTAGTATTTGAAAAATATTTTCTTTCATTAGTTTCCCTTCAGTAGGAAATCCGCGCCGGTCCATTTCAGGTTATCGATACGGTGTGTTCTAATATGGGGAAGGCGAGGACTGTTATCATTTGTAGTCTGATTGTTGTCATTTTGGATTATTATTCCCTAACAAGTTTTTATTCAGCAGCTTAAACAACACAACAGAAAAGGGGTGTCTGGGTGCTCATTTCATCTGCTCTCCAAATGAGGTGACTAATACCTTCAAGCGAGCAAGATTATTCCTGCACAGAAGCGGTGAGAAAACGTTTTTAATCATTAACACAAGAGAGTTCGCCACTTTTCAGCGGGGAAGACATTATGTACTAGCTGCTGTAGCCTGAAGGCTGTTGATTAGTCACACAGATGTGTTAGGAGGAGGGCTGCCGGCAGCGTGCAGCGCGCCTGGTGCATGAATAAACCCCGTTTTTTATACACTTCATCGAAGACATGACGCCATCCTTATCCATTCTTATATGCAAGTAAAATGTCAGTCTGTGATTATACGGTTTCTTTTATATCCAACATTATTCATAAAGAAAGTATTCACGGGCAGAGAGAAATGATAAATGTTGGTGGGAAGCAAGCAATGGTTTCGCTCTGTTTTAAAATGCTGGCATAATTTGAAGCTATGATATATTACTAAGTCCCTTTATTATAATAGCATGTTGACAAATGATATCGTGAATGAAGACTCTGAAGAGTACAAACCACACATTAGGGAGGGTTTCAGAGAGTAAGTAAGAATCTCCTCCCTGTTAGTACAGCTAGTGCTTAGAGGGGCATATTAACTCTTGCAATTCATTCGGGCGATTTTGAAGACTTTTGAGTGACAATTAAAACTATGGTAAATAAAGCTACACTATCTCTAAGAGAGCCAGTCTCTCTAAATGCCTTAGTGCATACAAGCACTTTTAACACTAGCAAAAATGATTCTGGGGAGAGATGCACTCTTAGAAAGTAAAATTTTTCAATTGCATTTGATATTCCTTTCTCTTCATTGCAGAGAATTGTAAACAGATGAAAAATAGTAACATGAACTTTTATCAGTTTTAGCTGCATTCCCAACATCACTTATTTAAGAGGTTATTTCTTCCCCATTGAATATTCTGGACTTCTTTGTCAAAAACTAATTGGCCGTGTGTGTGTGTGTGTGTGTGTGTGTGTGTGTGTGTGTGTTTACCCTGGGACTCTATTCTGTCCCACTGAACTAGGCAACTGCTTTTTATGCCAATACCACATTCCTTTGACAACTGTAGCTTTGCAATAGAGTTAGAAATCATGAACTCAAAAACACAATTTGATTTGTATTGCCACCTTTATGTATTTAGAAAATTAATCATGAAAGATCTTTAGACTAGAGTTTTTCTATGGGATTTTTTATGTAGTCATGCAGTTCCTTAAATGGATGTATAATTGTTAGACTTCTCCATTTCTTTTTAGTGTCAGCTTTTAATGCCATTTTCAAATAATTTGCTATTTGCCAGATCTTTTTCCTTTTCTTCAGGTTTCCTGAGGGTTAATAGTAAAAATAAAAACAAACCAAAAACTACCCTGCACATAGTTGCTGCTTACAATTTGATGTGATTTAACATAGCCACGTACCTCTTGTTATACCACCTGATGCTTCGGGAACCGATCGACTATCACCTCCCAAAGCAAAGAAATCAGGAAGTCGGGTACTTCTTCCTGGGCTCTTTTTTTCTCAAGATCACCTTGGCTTTTTGAAGTCTTTTGTGGTTCTATGTGAATTTTAAGCATTTTCCTCTGTCTGTGACAAATGCCACTGTATTTTGATAGGGATTGCATTGAGTCTGCAGATCACTTTGGACGGTACAGACATTTTAATGTCACTTCTGCAAGAAGGAGACTAACCCGATTACCTTCCCTGCCAGTGCAGAGCAGAAGTTCCCTTGGCAGTAGGCACCGGATCCCTTGCTCTCTAACCACTCTGCTATCCTTCCTCGTGAGCAGGCAGCGTGGCAAAGGGACTATGCAAAGATCTGAGTTGGGGGTTCGGGGAACGAGACTGCAGAGCAGAAGGTACAGCCACGTCCAGGGCAGGTGGGCTTGGCTGCGCTGCAGGAACGTGTGGGACCGTAATGCAACTGGGAGCAAATGACGATGCTGTGAGGAATTGTCCTCCAGGAATGTGACCCGGCTCATTTCATGATGTGAGCATGCAGCCTCGGGGAGGGACGCCGTCAGCCCCATTTGCTTCATCTCCCCTTGCCCTGACTAAGAAGCTCTTGCTACCCTCCCACCGTCTCCTGTTCCAGCACCGGGGAGTCTGCTCCTGGCCCAGAGCTCTTCCCCTCTGACCCACAATTTTAGTATGTCATTGTGAGAAAGTCACTGATATCAAGTTTACCCCCGCTCTGCTCTAGGGTAAAATTAAATGTTAAGCGATTGAAACATCTCTGATTTCGCCACTGCCCTTCGGCACAATTTAAAGGAAATTTTATGGTCGCAGTTTTTTTTAAGTTACACATTGATCTAATGCCTTCCAGGCACTGGCTCATTGCCGTCCCCCAAGAAACTAATTCATAAGGCAGGTATTAACACACACCCATTGTCGCGATGCGAACAGTGTGCTCGGGAAGGAGGAGGAGGTTATTTGCCCAAAGTTACACTCTAGTTACAGCCGCATCCAGAGTAGAGTCTTTTAAGCCATGTTGTGTGATAGTGACGGAAATAGAATTTACTTTTTTTTTTTTTTTACAAATTATGTTCTCCAAAATGCAATCTACATATTTTTAATGCAGAAACTTGACTGCAGGCTTATTTTAACACTACAGCACTAAGCCCCCAGAATCTGAGTATTCTAAGCAAAGGTAGTTAGCATATGGATAGTTTTTAGGAGAAGAATGCAGAAATTAACTTTGATTCACATAAGGATATTTAAAATAAAATTTTAATCTGATTATCTGGAATAATTGCCTTCTGCTGATTTCATCCTGCCTTTGGAAGAAAGAATATATACAAAATATAGAAAGAACATGTTCTTAAAAACTAGGGAGTGTTTTATGCTAATTTGTCTGAGTCACCTTTTGCCTCTTTACCTCTTACGAGGCTTGTCAAATAAATTAAGAGACATTGGAAGTCAAGAATTTCACAATTTCTACACATAGTAAATATGCAGTAAATGTGAACTGGTCAATTGATGGCGTAGGATCAAGTCGAATCAACTTTGTCTTCCAAGTGATTGTATAGGGATTGCAGGAATCAATCACATTTCTGTTCACCCCTTGGGGTAGGAACACTCCACTATTGCGCCTCGGGTCAGTCCTTATGCCCGGTTGCAAAGATAAACATGATTCAGGAACCAGCCCGGCCCAGGAGGCCAGGCCAGAAGCCAGTTCCCACAGCAGGGCGAAGCTGCGGGTCCGGAGGCCAGTGGGCAGTCTCTGCACCCTGAGGGCCGAGGAGCCTCACAAATGAGCTGCCAAATTCCTGCTCAACCTCAAAACTGAAGTGAGGGTCTTTAGCAAGAATCCGGCAAGGCCTTGCTGGTTACTTTGCGCAGATGGAAGGTCCCGGCAGGGCTGGGGCTCAGGGCAGGCGAGTGAGGACCCCCGGACCCCCAGATCCCGGCCCGGGCCTGTGATGATTCACGAAGGGAACTGCAAGGGGGATCAGCCAGGGTTTGAAATGAGGGTTCTCCGGGGTCACATAGGGAGGCTAGGGGCTGGAAAATGAAGTTAGAAGAGAGGCAGCTCCTTGGCATCCAGAGAAGCGAGGGTGCCAGCTGACCTGTGGGGTGCCAAGTGTCTGATGCGACCACGAGGGAAAGGAGATGCAGGAGGGAGAGGCCGGCACCCCGAGCCCCCCTCTGGCCAGCGCCCTCCGCCCTCCGCTGGGCCAGCCACTCATCTCTGTTTAGTGAAAATATGCTGCCAGTTCGAGTTTGTGTTTGCAGGCATTCTGAATTTCATATTCCCCTACTTCATTTTTCAGAGATGAAAAGATTCTTTGATTTGATCAAAAGGCCACCAAAATGACTGTTTTTCCTGAGTTGTGTTCACATAGAAAGTTTAGTTCTAACAGGCCCTGCTTTGCAACGACAGCGTCTTTCCTGCTAAGTCTAAGTCCCTCTAACTTGAGTTGTTATAAAATATTAAATCAATTTTAATTAATCTCCCCTAAGGGTATAAAAATGAGATATTTCTTTCCACAGTTTAAGATATTTATCACAGTGCCCTTCATGTGTGCAAGCATAAGGCACTGGGCCTTGTTTCCTATGGGGGATGTGGAGCCCTGAGGAGGCAAACGCTTCTCAGCCAGTGACCGCTGGTGACACAGCAGCCTTGGGGTCAAGCAGGTGTGTCAGGTGCTTCTCCTGGAGAGTCAGGACTCCCTTGAGGCTGAAATCTCTGGCTGTATGATTTCAGTTAAGTGCTTCCTTCCTTAATGTATTCAAATGCCTATGAGAATATTGACAGATCCCCAAAGGGTGGGTGGTGAACAAAGAGCATCTCTTTGGCTTCCAAAAGAGCTTCCTCCTCCGGCTCACCTTTGCAAGATCGTCTGTGTCCCAGCACCGTGGGGAGGAGGCTGCGCCGAGCGAGCGCCGATGGCTGGTCCTGTCTGGGCTGATGGATTCTTTCCCCATATGAGGTCTCTGGGAGAGACTCTCACCCACCAATTAACATGTCAGACTCAGATGTCAAACAGATCTTGTAACATCCAGGATGTGCCAGTAACTACTCATGTGCATTTGGGGCAAAACATTATAATTTGTGAACATCAGCGCTGCCATGTACACGGGGAGGTGGTGCTGATGTAGCAGCCATCTGAGGTTTATCTCGTGTGGTGAAATGAGGTGCTTAGCACAGTGTCTTGATCCCAGCTGACACTTAATAAGTAACAGCTATTAAAATTAGGATACAATTACCCGTGCATGGGCTGTTACCCATGACGTGTAGATCTGAGAGTTGGATGGTGGAGGAGCCTCTTCTGTTTCTCACTGTATTCTTTAACCTTCTCGGCCCAGCACGTCACATGCCCCAGGACACGATCACCTGAAATGAAAATCCTTTCATGCAACCGCGTGCGTCACCTGTCATTGACATGGGTTCCGAAGGAAAGTGGCAAAGTGCCCGCGTCAAGAGGGAAGAGAGGTTATCGAGCCTTACCACCAGCCATGTGTTGCCATCTCTGATGTCGCAGCTAACCTCCTCGTTGTAAACATCATCCAGCGTGAGGCAGCAGCTCATCACAAAGATAGTGACTTTATCCAAAATTGGACACATAAATGAACACTGTCACCAGAACTCCTCCAGGAGTGAGGTTCAGGTGTGTGTGTTAAAAACTACCAGAACTCAGAAACCCAGCTGACATCGGCTTCGTGCTCTCTGCAGAAACAGTTGCGTTCAGTAAATTCAGTGTGAGACGGAATCTGTTTCTACTTGTACGTTAGAAATAGAAGGTATTTTGGGGAAGAGCATAATGCTCAACTCCCTTCTTTTTAAATTTTATTTTAAATGAATTAAAATATTTTAAGATATTTATCAGACACAACAGCATGCCTGGGGCACCGCTGAGGGGGAGTCCGCCTTGCTCAGGCGCTGACCACACCCGAGCCCGGCTTTGGGATCCCAGGCCAGGGTAGATTTCCTTGGCGTGCAAGAGTCCACCTGGAGCCTTCAGAGATCAACTTTTAATTCCTTCCTTCCACTACTTGCGGCGTGGTGACGGTGGACCTTCTTCTCACGCCCCCTCCTGCTTCTCCATTGATGAGACGCTGCTGCCCACGTCGCCTCACCCGGAGAATAAACTGGTAAGATACAGCAAAGGTTCTTTTGAACGGTAAAACATTTAAAAATGAATTTGGAGTATTCATATAGTCTAATGTTGCTGAATGTGGAATTTCATGAGGAGTTTTTGTGGAGCACTCTTGTGGGTAAGGCAGGGCGTTTCATCGCTGCGGCCACGCCGTGTTCGTCCTCAAGGATGGCAGGAGGAGACTGAGCTTCGCCTCGGACCGTTGTTCCGTAAAAGGACGAATCCCCTTTCTTTATTTCCTAGTCCTCTTTCAAAAAGCACTACTCGCAAATTGAGTTTTTTTAAGGCTAAAGAAAAAAAATCCTAATGGAAAAGTAAAACCTCAACTTCTTGGCCTGAAACCATGTAACGCTGTCTCGCGGACGGGAGGCGAGCGAGAGGGGGAAATGTGAGGAGCCCTTAATACCATAAGCTCCTCTCGCTGGGATGTGGCGGTAATTGCTTTTTATTTTTTTGTAACATCTCCTGGAAATGGTAATGCTTTCAAGTGAGGATCAAAGAGAATGACCCAGGTAAGAAATAGATGCAACATGTAGTTACATTTCTCATCCGTCGCCATGTGCTTCTTGCGGCCACACTTCTAATCAGAAACACGGCATAATGCCCATCATTTTGCAAAATGAGTTGTCACTAAGGTCAGATGGGATACTTGGAAACCAGCAAAAAAATATGATTTTGACCGAGGTGTGAAAGGCGATAGATGGCTTTCTCGACAGATGACTTCACACGCGCTCCGGTGCCTTTGAAGAAAAAAAGACCAGCTATTCAGAAATACAGTGTGTTTTCTATGTCAGCGTGCATTCTGAATTTTGCATATGCATAGATTGTATGTGTACACATTGTCTATATTTCTAATTCTGTGCGCATGTATGTACTTTATGTAACATATATGTGTGTTTATATATAAAATGTACCCATTTATATGTAAAATAAAGTATATAGATACCCACATAGATGTATTGGCTATTACTGATACAGAGAATCTGTATGTGGTGTGTGTTGTGTGTGTGGGGGGTGTGTGTGTGTTATCAGAAATAGGCAACTCAGCTATGCTTTCTACCACGAAGACTCATCAAAAATAAAGGGTGTAATATAAGGAAAGGCAATAAAATGGCCCTATTTTTAAGTTTGTAAGTACATTTCATTCACAAAGTTTTGTTGCTCTTTTCCCAGCTCTAAACTTGGCCAAAATGCAGATGTACCTCAAATTATGTGGCTACAGGGGAGTTTCCACAAGGAAATATATCCTCAATGTGCATATTTTCCCAGAGGGTAGTACCTTGAGCTGTTATGCATACAAGACCTGACCCGGGCAGGGCGGGAGCCTGGGAACGCAGAGGAGCCTCAGCCTCAGACGCCCCCGAGAAAGAAACCAGGGCTCAGGGAAGCGCTGGCTGTGCCCCCAGGGCTGCAGCCGCCTGTCGCCAGACCTCACCTGTCACCAGACCCTGCCTGGTGCTGGCCCCAGGTCTGGGTGTGCTTTGGCTGCTCTGGAGAGGCCAGAGGGTCCCCCGTCCTGCCAGGGTCTACCCCGACTGGGTAGGGCTGGAAGGAACTTTTTTTTTAATTATTTTTTTATATTTATGCATACAAGAGCTGGGGTGCAGGCCAGAGATGGGGGACGGTGAGAGGACTCACCAGAGACAGAGTGGGGAGCAGAACAGGCAGATCTACCGAAATTCACTGGTGAGGGAGCAGCTGGGGAGACAGGAGAGGCCTGCCGCGCCATGTGGGTAGCTCCCAGGCCGGGGGTCAAACTCAGGCCGCCGTGGCTGTGGACAGCTTCATAGAGCTGAGACTAACCCCTGCGCCACCAGGGAGGCCTGGGACTTTTTTTAAATTAGTGTGTAGATCTACTTTGGGGGTGAATTCTGAGCACTAAAGGAAGTAAGAGGGCGGCGGGCGGCGCGGTTGAGGACGGGCAGCGATTCCCGTGGCCGTTCGGGAGCGAGGCTGGGAGATGTTGCATGGTGCGCGGCGCTCGGTGAGTTTGTAGCTGTGCCTCTCACATTTATTTTTAATCTTTTTACTTAATGTTAAATTTTAGTGAATGTTGAAAGCCTACACTCAATGGCTTATGTAATGTTAAAAATCTACATTAAAATAGTATCGGAGTGACTTAAGGGGCCAATGGAAGACTCTGAACAAGTCTCTGACATTAAACCTTCTGTTACCATAAAGCTGGTGCGGACATAAATATCCCGAGACAGGAGGAAGACCCTCCCGGCCTGATTTCAGCAGCCAGTTTCAGGAAACCTTGAGGAAATGTGTTTTCTGAAGTTGCTGCTTTTACAAAATGGATGTTGCAGCGTCGAAGCTCAAGAGGGCTCCGGTGATTCCCAGCGTGGTGCGCGGATGCTTTATCCACTTGCTCTCTGCCGGCGCTTCTGGCAAAGGTGAGTAGGAAGGGAAACAAATAGAGGTCACGGCGATTGCGAGTCGGGGCCTGACCCCAAGGCCCCTGGCTGGTGTCTGAGCGCAGCTCAGCGGGGATCACCACCCCAGGAGCTCCACGCCAAGGGCCTCGCTGGGCGAGGCAAGATTTGTGCTGCTGTTGGACCCGCAGCCCCAGGGACGGTGTGCACGCAGAGCACCCCACAGCTTTTGTGGCTTTTTGGCTGAGTCGGGGTACATGGTGGTCCCCGTACCTCTGGGGTCCTCCTCCCCTGGGCTTCAGTGCCCCTCCCTCCCCTTCCCTGTGCCCCCAGCTTTCTCCAGGAGCCAGAACCCTGTTCCCCAAGTGTTCACGATCCTGCCTGGGGACTCTCCGCCTAAGGTGGGGTGGAGGCGCGCGGGAAGAGACCAAGGAAACAGCCCTTCTGAGAATAAATAAATCAACAGGTAAATTTTAGCCTGTGGAGGCATTTTCAGTCTTCTCGAAACACCAGTCAGCTTGGCGCAGAGCAGAGCTCTCCAGGCCGACGGCGCCCTTGCTGCTGTCTGCACCGAGGCCGCAGGGACTCATGCTCCTGCCCGTCCCTGTAAATGCGGCTGGGCCTGTCCAGCTTCCCCGCATCCACTCGGCCCGGACACGCGGCAAGAGGAGCCCTCCTCCCGCACCTCAGCTCTGTCCCCAGTGTGACCCCGGCTTCCCACCGAGCGGCTGTCCACACAGCTCTCTGGGGACGCCTGCGTTCGCTGTGCAGTGAAGGCGGCACGCGCGTGGCTGCACGGCATCAAATAATATTGACGGATTCAAATGGATTTTTCACTTGAAAAATTAGAAAAAAGAAGCCTTCTAACAATGCACTGGGTGCCAGTCTGCCCCTCTGGGCTGCAGGACGTGACAGGGCGCGGGCAGGCGGGAGCCGAGTGCAGAGGAAGCGCGTCCTCCCAGCGCCGAGGGCGTCTCCCCAGAGAAGCCTTCCTCGCAGGGGCCTCCTGCGCCTTCTGTGTTTCTGGCTCTGGTGTCGCCTGGCCCGGGCAGGAGGCCGGTCCCCGCTCGGCACCTCACCCGCTTGTCCCCAGGGAGGTGCCCCAACCCGGGGTGGGCACCGGCCACTGCATCCCCTTGGACTTCATCCTCATTGTTTTGTAGCCAGTCCTTGCTGATTGTCCGGGAAAAATGCATTTTGTGCAAAATGTATTTTATGCCTCGCTTTTCGTGAGGGGGTGCGAGCAGAGGAAGGAAGGAAGCCCACGGTGCGCATACAAGGGGGGAGACGGTATTTCAGCCCTTCAGCCCCGCGCGGGCCGCATCCGCACAGCAATTTCTTCCCCCACAAAATGGATTTTATCAACGACAGTCTTTTAAATCTCCCAGTGTGTTTGCACTCTGACAGAATATTTTCTTACCCTATAAAGTGGACTAAATCAGAATTTTATTGGACCGAAAATCTTTTATGAAACAGTTTCCTTATTGTTTTCTTTAAGCCGGGAAGCTTTCTGGAAATATGCTGCGGCAGTCGCAGAAACGTCCACCCTCTTTTACTGCCTGGAAATAAACACAAGAAACAAAAACAAGTGAACACAGTGGCGCCGAGCCTGCCGACAGCCCTCGCCGTAAGGTGGGGAGTGGCGCGGCTTGCGGGGTGCACGTCCAGGCTGGGCACTGGGATGTGGGCCTTCATCCCGCGTCTCTGTTGCTCCAAAAATAACCTGGTAGATGGGGGCGATCCCGGAGGTAGAAATGGAAGGGGGGGGCGGGGGGGGTGCTTTGGCCCTGAGTGACTTTCCCAGGGGCCGTCGGTCCAGGCGCCCGGGAGACCTTCAGGCTCACGTCCACGGCGAAGCCGCCTCCCTGGACAGGGGTCCTGACCGCCTCTGGCGCTCACGCCCCCTGGAACTCAGGGCCCTGCAGGAGGGACACCGTTGTCCCCTCCGTCACGGCAGCGCCGAGTATTTCATTTCAGCACCTGATGGGTGGAAGCCAGCCCCGCCAGGCCCTTCCCCGCAGTCAGCCATGGTTTCATTCTCCGCTTGGCAGTTCCCTAAACACGGCTGGGTCTGAAGCTCAGGGTGCGGGAGAAGGCAGATTCCCTTCTCCAAAGGAGAAAGAGCCCCTTCCTTTCTTTCTTTTCTTTTCTTCTTAAAGATTTATTTATTTATGCACACAAGAGCTGGGGCGCAGGCCAGAGGTGCAGCAGGTGAGAGGATTCACCAGAGACAGAGTGGGGAGCAGAACAGGCGGATCCCCTGAAATCCACTGCTGAGGGGAGCAGCGGGGAGACAGGAGAGGTCTGCTGCGCCCTGTGGCTGGCGATCGAATTTGTGTTGCAGAGGCTGCAGATAGCTTCATAGTGCTGACACTTAACCCACCCCTTGTGCCACCAGGGAGCCCCCCTTTCTTGTCTTTTCTGTCTTTATTATATTGGTTACCCCCCAAAACTGAGGGTAAGTTATCTTTAAATCCTCATGGGTATATTTGCTGGATGAGTCCATATTTTATTATCAGCTGTAAACTTAGATTTTTTAAATGGAATGAGCTTTATGTTGAATTTCACAATTTAAAAAAGTAGTGTTTTGGGTAATTCATTAATTCACTCAAAAATAATCTCCGTCAAGTTAGTTTTGGGAACAGAATTGTTTGGATGCAGCAAATAGGAAGATTTGAGTATTCTGTAGTCTATGTTGGTTCTTATTCACAGACCCCAAATGTGGAATCGATAGTGGACAAAAACTGGACTTTGGAGAATGACACTTTGCACATAAATAGATTTTATCTTTGCTTTATCTAGAATATCTTTCTAAAAATATCAATTTTTCCCATCTCCTTAGGAACCTGCCAAGCAGCTGTCCCTGGGGTTGTGCTGGATAAATTAAGTGGCCAAGAGTTCACGTCATGCAGTCGGGCAAGAGCATTTTTTCCCCTGTCAAAAGACTTCTCTTGGCATAGCTATCCTTGGTTTCAATCTTTTGTTTTCATTGTGACTGAGATTAAAAAATAGTTCATGATTGAATATTTTATACCATGGACTTCGAAGTCGCCTAGTTAGCTCACTTAATATTCTAAAAATGTTACTCTTCACTCAGTCCTGTAAACACCTTCTCGATAGAAGTCTTAGCATGGGAACAGATTGTTTGACATTTGGTTGTTCTTTATTTCAAAAAAGTGATGCACGGATAAAAGTTTAGGTTTTAAAAAATTTCACAAGCGAGTCAAGAAACAAAGTTGATTTTGCTACAGGGCTTGGACAACCTTAAATATAGACCAAAAATCCGGTTTTTTACTGGAAATGACAAGATGTCACTTTCTTCCTCTCACCCCGGTCATTGG